CATTAGCCTACATGTCATGTCCGTGTTTATTTGAACTTTCCAAATGTCTACAGAAACTCAAAGTCATGCCAGCCACCTCAGTTATCGACATTTTGCAATATTTGCATTCCACAGTGTGCTTATTTTAACTGGACAACTTGCACAGAAACTGGATAATTGCTGACTAGGCAGACATGATGAGGCGTGCAAGTGGGGCAGGGTTGGCCTGCATCGTTCCAGAGCCCAGGACTAAATGATTTCAATGGGGACTCCTGCACGAGGCTCAGTCTCGCTCCTGGCCTTGTTGATATAGAACAGCCTTTGGGGCGCTAAAGCTACAGAGGAGCGATTCAAACTCCTAACCCAAAGTACTATAATCAAACTATCTGTACCATATTGAATTCATTTGCATTGTAATGCATCACGTTGATTGACATTGTGTCGAATTGCACTGCATCGCAAAAGGGGAGAATCGGATAGTAATACATTAATAATTACGTCATACGTGTCAGATCATTGGTAATACATTGAGATGTGTATCACATTGGCCTCAGTGATGGAGATGCACAACCCTACTGCCTATCACAAGACTCCCATATCCACAGGCTAACAGGGCAGTCCCAGACCTATATGAATGCCATTGAATTATGGGAGGAAGTCAGAGTACCTGCAGGCGAAAGCTCACGGACATGGGGAGAACATGCAAACTCAGCGCACGCAACGCCAAGAACTAAAGGTGTATCGTAGCAGTGCCACTGAATCAACGCACCTGCCAACAAACACCATTATTAATAAAATGCCAAGAAAATAAAACAAAATTCGATCCACCATCGTGTCAAATGTCTTGCATAGATTACAGAGCTTACATTTTCTGTGTGTCATACTAAATTTTCTCACACGCAATGAGAGTGTATTTCTTGGATGCGCAAGTGTGCATAATTCACTCCAAGTACGTACTGGGATTTGTACTTAGGTCACCGTTGCCGAGATAAATTACATAATTTTCTGTTTGTCTGGAAGAAACTTCAGCAGGTCGAAAGGACTTACGGGATAAATTACAGCAACACGGTAAAACAAGAGTATTTAGCAATGTATTTATTTTGAATTCACATTTTAAGTGTAAGATTTCTGAGGAAGTGATGGAGGGATTACTTAAGCTCGCCGCAGTTTGAAATCGTGATCCTTTTGGAGGGACTCCCGGACTGAGAGCCGTAGGACTCCATTTTCATCACTACATCCATTCCGTCCTTAACATGGCCAAACACAACATGCTTTCCATCTAGCCTGGAGGGGGGGTGAAAAAAAATCAAAATTCTGTTATGTGATTGCATAAAATGATAAGGTGAGGTAAGAAACAGGTTCTGCTATTATACCATTCTGTCTTTGCAGTGCAGATGAAGAACTGTGATCCATTGGTGTTTGGACCCGCATTTGCCATGGACAGCACACCTAAGAGACGAAAAAGTTTAACAAAATAAAAGTCTGCTGCCCATCCACATGCCAGCAATTTAGGGATTTATTCTTTCTAAGAAAGCAAACTCTTACATTTATATTTTCACAAAGATGCCTTGCAACATATTTTATTTATCCTGAGGGAAGAGCTTAACTCTCCGTTAAGAACCACACAATGTAGGGAAATATATGAAAAAAAGTAATCGGTTAATTGATTCCTGGTGATTTAAGAAAGTAGGTCATCTTCCATCGGAACAGAAAGTTCAACACGGACTAATATGGGGGGAAATGTCGCCATCTAGTGTTGGGCTTTTCCTTCCTAAGTTTGGAAGGTCTTAAGTTCAGGGAAGGGGGGGAGCAGAATGCAAAGGACATTCAAATAGATTTCCCCTTTTAGGACTTTCATTTTGTGGATGATTTGTAAACCAAACCATTCATAGACTGTAGATTTGAGTTACCTATGGAAAAAAGCTCACACAATGTTATTGATATACAGTACATTTTATATCTCATGTTTCTTAAAAAAAATCACCTGGTCCTAAGTGCTTCAGTTTAAAGTTTTCATCCGGAAATCTAGATCCATATATGGATTTTCCTCCCGTTCCATTATGATTGGTGAAATCTCCCCCCTACAACCAAGGGCAAATGACAAAAAAAGCATGTTATTCAGCTGCGTTAGATCCCAGTTCCGGAGGCGCTTGGTCTGTTTCATAAAATCAAGACCTGTCCGGACTTGCCTTTATAACAGAGACACAAACATACCTGGCACATAAACCTAGGGATAATTCTATGAAACATGGATCCTTTGTATCCAAATCCATGCTCTCCTGTGCACAGGGCACGGAAGTTCTCTAATAAAAAAACAGAAAACAAAACAGCCGTTTAACTGGTTATGTGATTACAAGCTGAACACTGATCACATCAAGACGTGTGTAATAGTGTTGTACTCGTAGGGAGATTGCGCTTACCTGCTGTTCTGGGAACGACATCCGCATTCAGCTATAACATACAGTAATATATTAGTGAATATGAAATGCGATTAACAAAAGAGCAAAACGATTCATAATAAAAGACTAGGACAGGTAGCGGCGGAAGTAAATAGAGTTCGCTAAACGGCGATATAAGGAAATCACATTAAGCAACTACTATGAATTATACCAGCACTGACAAAAAAAAGACAAGGTGTTTCGTATGAAGTTTTATTATTGGACTGAATATCGCTGAATATCGTGTCTGAAATGGGCAGTGTCACGCATCGGGATGGTGTTTAGATGTGCTGCAAAATGCCCCGGTCCATATAAAATCCCAAGGGCATGTTTTTACGGTCCGCTGATCGCAATCACTGCTTGTGACTGAAATGTCGGACCCACATGCTTCCGAGATCACCGGCGTTCGAAATGAATGCACATGGAAGGACGGTGCAAGGTTACCCAGCGCTCCAAACAGTCACTTATCAAGCCAGTGCAAGTTTACTAAGGCGTCCTACCTGAAAGGTCACTCTGCCAAGGGGCTGGTTATCGGCCGCGATGTCAAAATACACAACCGGATTAACCGGAGGACCCGATGCTAACAGCCGGGTAGCGGCCAGCGCCACCGAACACACTTTCAACCGATTCTTAATGTGCAGCATTTTTTTTCTCGCAGCCGCCACTTTGAATCGTCCCGGTGCCGGAAGTGAGTGCAGAGCTTCCAGCGGCTACGGCGGCCTCGCTCATGGGCGCAGGACCAGGAAGCGCGCAAAAACCAGATCGACGTTCCAATGTGCCCTTTTTATGCAGCTTGTCGCACATGCGATTAGATAAGCGCAGAAAACACTCAAAACGCGCTAGCTGCTAGGCTTACCGTATTGCATGTATTACATACGCACCGACATGTATGTATAATATACGCACATGAATCTGAATACCCAAGCGCATTTACGTTTAAGCGTCTAGAGGATCTGCTGACTAGGGTAATAATATTATTACATACACATATTTGTGCTAGCTATTCCCCCTAGCTATAGAAACAAATTTCAACATTTTGGAAGAATGGTGAATCCAGAATACACAAGGCAATTGCAGAATGCATAGCCACCTATGGAAGTCAAAGTCACCTGCCGAGTCTAATAAGGTGCACATTTGGCAGGGCACATCAGTAAGTTTGCTGTACACCTGTGGTACCGCCCGACACCCAGTTTGTAACCCAATTTAACACCGCGGTGACTGTTTGCGTAACTGTGCTGCTTAGAACCAAGCAGTCAAAAAAATTCACAAATAGTTGAAACCAGGTTAGAAGAACACAACTGTATAGTACACTGCTAGGGCTGGTATTTATAACCACAATAAATTACAGTGAAGGAAGCAGACCCGCACACCAAAAGCTAGACTCCAACCAGAGCATGCTGAGAAGTATGATTGATCTCATTGCTGTTATTCAGTAGTGCTCTGTTTTACCCAAGCAGTCACTGTAAGCATCTAGACAGCATCAATCATTTCCAGTGGGGGTGGTGGGGTAGCTGGAATCTGTCCTGGCCATCCCACCTGAAGCTACAATACACAGAAGTTGCTTTTGGGAAGAATTTGGAACTAAAAACCTTCCAAAAAGAAGTAACATGGTTTGATATCAGTAGGCCCCATCAGTTTCAGACAAAAGATAATTTACCTCGATAAAATGGCAAATCACCTGGCAACCGTTTATGGATTTTTAATTCTCCGGTTCTAACAGAATTTAGATTCATGTATCAATGGTCTTTTAATCAGTTTTCTCACATTGAGAAAACATCGGGAACATCGTCAGTGGCGGCTGGTGGCTAAAAAAGGAGGTAAGAAAATAGATTTTACGGTATTACAATAGTGAATTTTTCCAAAGTACATAGAAAGTGTTTTTAAATTACATTTTTATGAGTTATTTCAAAGTTACTTATTTCATAATTTAATGACAAAACCACTGTCGACCAGCCACCTCTGAACAGCATATTAAAACAGTATGCAGTAACAATGCCGATTCTGAATGAAACCAAAATACAATGGGTTCACCTCTGGTGCTCTAAAATTAAAATTGAAAAATTGCTTTAGTTTTTCAATGCTAGAGTGGCTTCTCAGCCCTACCTGCATAATTAACTACCCTTTAAATAAATGCTTTGTTAATTCACACATATGCCACCTGATAAGACCAATCATATCAAACATGAAATATAAAATATTTCTAAAAAACAACATGAAGGCCGTGTTGTACAGGTATCATCTGAATACATATTTATTAGATAAATATTAGGTTGTCACATCATCTAACTACATACAGTTCTGCAAGACTAAAAATCACAATTAGTTCATTTTCTTCTGACCAGTTTAGAATATGAAATGATTGTACATACAATGTACAAACATAAAGACAATGGTCACTTTTGCATGAATCACCTTAGATTGTACCTTTTATTATTATTTTTTTGTCCTTTTTCATCGGATCATGATATCAAAAATTGTACAAACTATGGATTTGGTTACAATCTTCTGGACCCCCCCCCAGGTCCCAGGTCCCCCCCCCCCACACTTTGCTTCCTTCCCCTCCATTTCCCAGTATTTTCTTCATTAATATTTTGTAGCACCTTAAAAATACATAGGTGATAGACTAATACACATAGGCTAATTATTATGTTGGTATAACAAAATTATTTTTTCCCCTCCCCAGCACGGCCAATTAGCCTCGTAAGAGAGGTCAGAATATGTTACATAAGGGAACAAATGCAGAGAATCCACAGACACTAACAAACAAGATTCATTTTCCATACTGAGTCACTTCTGATGGGGATGCAGACTTTTTAAAAATTCTGAATAAACAATGCACATTCCCGGGGAAAATGAATACAGTTCTGTTAACATGTCTCTATATACTCATTTACATACATATATACAAGCATCTCTCGGATTCTCCCTCCACGGCGTGGTCTTATCCTGTGGCTCAGCCCGGGGCCTTAGTGAGCAGACAATTCCTCCATTCACTCTTTTTATTCCACTTTATTTTTTATTTATTTTTAAAATTCGCTTTGCTTGCCCCAGAGAAACTTTCCTTGTAGGTGACTGCACAGCTGTGGTGCGCAGGGGTGCCCAATACATAGAACCGACCCTTACGTAAAATGTGAGCTGATGTAAATGTGCTTACTTAGACACAGAGAAAGGAAACAGTGTGGCAGTGCATGGTTAAAAAGACCGTTCATTTTTACCTTCCTTGGACATACAGTCATTGTTTTATTTAACGCTACTACCCAGTACCAATAAGCTAATCTAGATGTATTCCCCTATCCGGAACAACAGACGTTCCTAAGGCCTTAGAATTTATAAAATCATCACCTCTTCATTTTTAAATACAATGCTATACTGGGTTAAGCGAAACAAAAAAAAAAAGAGAAAGAAAAAAATAAAGATTACTAGCCTTACTTCTTATTACAAAAGAAAATATATAAAAATAATTTACAAAAAAAAAACAAAAACCATATTCGAAATGGGATACAAATTTCAAATGATCTTTAGCTTTTACAAAAGCTGTATATTCTGTAACAAAAATAAAAACAATATATAGATTTATTTAACGTAAGGCCGTGATACATTTTTCAAAATGCCACTTGTACATCTCAACAACTAACAGCAAATCGCATAGTTCTCACGGCTCCCTTCATTTTTCTGATATCCGTCGGCGAATGGCAATTATTCTGTTCAAGTCAGGCCACCGTTTTAATCCTCATCCGAATGCGAACACGGCCGCAATCGGAGGCAGAATGAACCGGTTTGTCCACACAGCCTTTGAAACCGAGGAAGAATTAAAGTGAATACTGCTATATAAAAATGTAAAATAAAAAAGGTACCCTCTTCTTTTCTATTTTGTTTGTTGTTTAGAACGGTCAGACCAGCCGAGTGGGGAAGTAACTCAGGAATTATGACAGAGCAGACTTCCACCTGCATATTCCAGGTCATTCTATGAACTGTACTGAGAAATTAAATATGCGGACAAGATGAAAAGAATGAGAAGACCTACAAAATGTGAAAGACATTTCATTGGTTCTGTCATTTATATAAGAAACCTCGTATTCAGGACGGGAGTGGCGGTGATGAGGCGGGGGTGGGGGAGTTGAAGACTAATAATGACAAACAATGGACAACCGATTGTGAAAAGGATTAATATCATCTAGGACAATACTAAAATATTCACAAAGATATTTACAATAGCTTTTTTTAAAAAATAATACATTTGCATACTAAACAGCGGTTTTCTGTTAAAATAAAAATGAAAAAAAAAAAAGATGGGGAGAATGTCACGTTTCTGACGCTGCTTCCAGAAGTCAAGACAGTAAAAAATATATATATATATATATATATCTACACAGAAATGTCAGGGGCTACCGTATACTCATGCCTCGACAGCAGTGATAAATTATTTCTTTTTCTAGGGCTTCGGAGCAAGGAGAGCAGTCCTCCTGCTCCTCCCAAACTTTGGTGATATAAAGCGATTTCCCAATGATTATTAACCGTTACATATTTGCAGCACTGCAAAACAAGAGCGATTAAATAATAAAAAAAAGAATAACAATAAAATAAACTGGACGATACATTGTGAATATGACGAAGGTAATCCCTTTCAGAGGGAAATTAGTGTTACATGAAAACAAATTAAGAAATAAAACAATAAGACGAAAGCCGCAGTTGATAAAAACGCACTCTTAGCTTGGGATATCACGAAACGAGGGCAAATTGGCACGCATGCACTTCTTATATCACTTACTGTACATAATTCATCAAGGATTGAAACGGACGTCACACAGTGGGTTAGGCTAGCGACGCGGGGCCATGCGGGACGGGGAAGCACGGAGACGCCGGAAGGAGGGGTGAGCTAGGGGTGCGCGACAGTGACTGGCACAGAGCTAGCAGTGCAGTAATAACCCCTCTACAGCTACCGTCTCTTTATCATCACTCCGTTCTTCCTCCTTAATGTGCAGTAAGCTCTCCTGGCAGGTAAGATAGGGGGTTTGTTCGCTATGTAACAGTCTTGTACAAAAAAAGCTGCGTTACTCCGAATATAAATGCCCGTTTCTATGTGTGAGAGCAGCCCCACAGTTCATCTCCTGCGTCACCCTCAAGCCTCTCCCCACCGCTGGAGATTAAACGCGTCCCACTCCGCTCTCCCTAACAGCCTAGCCTGACCCCTGGGCTGTAGTTACTCTTTTCCCATTTAGTGTGGTGAAGATGGTATCGCACGATACAAAATAGGAAACAAATAAAAAAAAAAAACAACACACATAAAAATCCTCAGAAAGAATGCTCTCCCCCCCATATCTGCATCAAGATGGAAATGTGTTTTCAAGCTTATTGAAACTTCCAAACACGGACGACGTTTGCTTTACGTTGGGAACCCAGCAAAAGATGTAGTCAGATAGTAGGGGGCCAACCGCACCCTGCGGATCGTATCGGAAGTGTTCTTCCCTTTTGAGATGTTTTTTTTTCCTCCTTTTCATTTTTGTCTTTTTTTTTTCAACGTTACAGTTTTTTAGAATATTTTGTGCTTTGAACTGGTGGTTAGTGGACATCAGTGCTATTATCTGTTTGGGAGAGGAAAACGAAATAAAATATAATTAAATATAAAACAACAGGAAGCCACGGATTCAAAGTCGTAGGAATATCAGCATTCGAAGGGGATACGGACACTGGCCGATATGGGCAGTTTTTTTTTTTTTTTTCCTTTTTCATTTCTTTTTAAATGGAAATAAAATAATAAAAAAATGCTACAACATTTTTTTTCTATTGTTCACACAGAATGCTGTGTGAGGTAAAAATGAACATAATATAGCTGCAGAGTCTGTAATGTTCGAGGGTATCACTTCAAGGCAGACGACAGGACAGTCACATCTGCGCGTTTACAAGAACAACTCTCAGTCAATCTGGGCGGGAGATGCGGATGTTTACAAGAGGAAGAAGAGTAAAGGAGTGCATCTTTGTGTCTGTCAAGTACTGAGTAGCCCACTGGGCCTGGCTCGGGCCAGTCTAGATAGCACGGACGCGGGGCGGCCTCAGTTGTTTTCGAAGAGGGACAGAAGGTCATCGTTGCTATTGCTCGGGAGGTCTGGTGGATCCAAGTAGGACAGCAACTCGTCCGGGTTCGCAAGCTCAGGGAGGAGCTGTGGGACAGGAGAGGGACACGGTCAGAGGCGAGAAGATGAGACAGTGTCTTATTTTTTTTTCATTTTTTTTTTCTTGACTCAGATCGAGGAATGAAAGAGAGAAGAGAAGCTGTTAGGGCCAAGCACATTTAAAGCTCGAGTCCTGGCATCTGGCCTGTGCCAGCAGTCGCATGCAAAACGGCGCCACCGTGATTCACTACCCTGAGCCCGGATGTCTGCATGGCTACCGTTAGAAAGGCAAGATAAAGAGTCATGACGCAGCTCTCCCGCACGGGCTCTCTTTAATGCCGGCACTAGGCTCCAGGGAGCGCGTCTTGGGTGGCTAGAAGCTCACAGCTTGCAGCTAGTGCTTGTGCGTGACTCTGTGCAGACGGCGTGACTGCAATGACAAAAGCGGTATAGCGTGCTGGACTAGAGGCTCCTGTCTATCGCAGGCCTAGCGGGGGCACAGCGCACACTTACATCCAGGGAGGGCTCCGGCATATCAGGCGCTACTGAGCCTCCTGCCTGACCCTCTAAGGCAGAGGAAGGGGTAAAGGTCAGGTCGCCGTGCGGATGGCTGTTAGCACCGGGCTGCGGTGGCGGGGGCTGGCGCGGGGGCTGGGGAGCGCCACTGTGATGTAATGGCTGCCCTGATTGGCTGCTGGGGTGAGGAGGCGCGTGCAAGCCCTGCTGCATGGAGCTATGGGACTGATCAGTGCTGACAGGATGAGGCATCTGCGGAGGAGGAGAAGCGGGAGAAGAGAGAGAGTGAGGGCCCGGCGGGAGGGTGGGGGATTCCCAGAAGGCAGGTCAAGAGGTACCGTGAGAAAAACAGCAAAACAACAAAATAAAAACGAGACCCACACAGCTACCAAAACCAGACCCAAGGTGACCTTGCTGCGCCAAGGGTGAGCCCCGGCAGAGCCCCCTCCTATCAAAGCCCCCTCCCAAAAACCTGACTGGCAGCACATGGGTGCTAAGTGGCACCCATTAGCTGCCATCAGCCTCGATACCCTACGAGTCACAAAGAGGCTCCATTCATCCCACGATCCACTCCAAGGATCACACACACGAATGAGTCTGCTTAGGAGCCGAATTTTAACGGGCTATTGGCGGATTGCTTTGGTTGCCCAAAGAGGATCTCTACAAATAAGGCTTAGGACGAGAGATGTCACTGGTACAGGAGAAGCTGGGAGGCTTCTCCAAGAGCCAGATTCTGGGGTGGGGTGTTATGATTGTTCATCCTCCCTAAATGGTCTTCATGAATATAACACGGTACAAGAGACCTGCCAACCTGGAAACATTTAGTATAGCTGACGAGTAGCTCATTGTGGGTGGGTTGGGGAATTGGGGGTTACTCACGGCGTCCGGCATGCCGTGGCTGAGGGGCTTGTCAGGGTTCATAAGGCCGCCGGGCATGTCGGGCGGGTGGGAAAGCTGGGGCCCGTGCATGAAGTCGTTCATGGAGGTGCCCCCAGGGTTTCCGTGGGGGAAGTCGAAATTACCGTGTCCCTGGTAACTGTTTCCTACCGGTGCAAACAAAAAAAACCAACAAACAATAAAATAAATTGAAAACGACCGTGATGAACACACACTGAGAAAGCAGATCAATATTCATTATCCTGCAGTATAGACAGACAGACAGACAGACAGACAGACAGATCCTTTTTTGTCATTGCTTATAAACATACAACAAAATTCAGTTTGAAACAAACCATTGAACTTAGCGGTTTAAATTGGCATAAATTAGAAATAAACTCCAACTCAGGTCTCCAGAAGTGAAGGAAAATGAAAAGGTTAAACAAAATCAGAGCGTGGCACCTTAATAGTCATCTTTAGTGCCATTAATAAACCCAGTCGGTCACCGGCAGTTACCTTGGTTTCCATAATCACTGTTGTGCCCCCCAGGTGGAGGGGGTAACGATGGGTATGGGGAGGGGCCCGGACCAAGCTGGGCTATCATCTCCATTACGTTTGGCAGGATCATCTGGCTGGGACTCATGGTCTTAAATCTCTTTGCCAGTGGGCCGTCGGGGTCTTCCTTGATGTGCATGTCCGACTTGATCGCCACCGGCCTCCAGCTACACGTTGGGTCAATGGTGACTTCCTCAAACTCCGAGCTGATCGATGCAGGGAAAGAGCATATGGTATTCATATGGTGAAGTATTACTGCACATGGCGATGTGAGCAAGATGTAAGCATTCATTAAAAGCTGTGATTAGCTGGAAGCACGACCTTCTCAGGAGGAGACTCACTTTTGGATGGCGTTCAGGATGCCCCACATGTACTGATCGACTTCCAGACCCTCCAACAACGCTGTTTTACTAGGGCGGAGCAAAAATGCATGTGAGACGATGGAGGAACAGAGACTTTCTGATGATACGGGAAGCTTCGTCCATGCACTAGCAGAGCTTAGCTACACTCTGTTAACGCCACATACTTACTTGCATACCGGACACCGCCATGTTCCCCGTTCACAGTTCAGCTGCAGGTATGACTCCAGATCGAAGCACTGTTAACAACACAGCATGGCATAAATGAACGCAAAAGGTAATGTACCCAAAGAGACCCTTGCAATGGCGCCCTCTTGTGGTGGGGAGGACTTACCTGTACATGTTTACAATCATGGCCCCGTGCTGGGAGCTGGATCCGCCGGAAGGTAATGGGGCATTTGAGGGACACTTTAATGGCAGTCTGCTCCACACCGTCTTCCCCGTTAAGCGTGGCGTTCCCAGAGGAGGCTGCCACACTGCTGAAGTTCCTCTTGACTAGAGGAAAGGAGAGAGCAGATAGGCTTCAGGGTAGGAGTGGGTGGGGCAGGGAGGAAGAGGTGAGGAGGAGGAGTGGGGAAGGCATTACCTTTGGTGATACAGTGCTCTGCGGGCAAGAGCCTCTTCTTCAGCAGACCCTGGAGGACGGAGCGGACGGACGGCCGATGGACCAGCTGAAGGACGAAGAGGTGCGACTGTGGCGGGGGGGGGAGCACAGAGATGCCTCAGTCACCTTGCAGTACAGATACTGCACCTCTGCACACAGCCTGCAGGAGGCGCCATACTCACGCAGCAACAGGCCGTGACAGTGATCTGGATGGTGTTCCTCCCTGGCTGGCACACGTGCTTCAGGTGCAGGGGCTTGTGGGAGGTCTTGTTGTCACCCCTCTCGATGGTGAGTGGCGTGGCGTTGACGCTGACCTGCACGGATGCTGGCCAGTTGGTGTTCATCTGCCGGTCTTCGTGGTGGTAGCACTTGAACTGAAGCTCCAGGTCTGACCTAGGGTGCACCCCAGAGAGTCAGTCAAGCTGGGGTCTTACCCTGCCCCATCCCGACTGTTCTGTACCCTGGAGAATATCCGGCGTTATTGACGGGACAATGCTGCCGATACCATCGGTGATTCTTGTCATGACATCTCATCCACACTAATCTCTAATGACTAAGGTACCTAGCAGGCTAAGCCACCCTATTAATATGTAAATGCTTATCAGGAGGGATGACACCTCAGATCTGACAGTCATTACAAAAGAGCTTTCCAACTAGTGTCAAACGCGTGCAGCCATCTTCCATCTGTTGCCTATTGTGTCACATTACTGTACCTGTGACTAAGTACTTAGCGAGTACATCTATACTTGTCCTCGCTAAAGAAAAGGACCAGCAGGCTGAAGGATTCTCAGTACAGGGCTTCAAGACCTGGGCTAGACGGGCCTTAACTCCAAACGGTGCCAGAACAGCAGCGTACCTTGATGTGCCTCTGGATCGGTCCACATGTACCGATGACTAAAATATTTTGCACCCCTGCCTGAATGTGTGAAAACAAAAATATTCAAAGATGATGTTTTGTGGATGTTCTCTGGACGTACACTACTGGCCCATGAAGGGTTCAGCGCACATTGTGGTTCATGCAGGAGTCAGAGTACTCTGGGGCTCATGTGGGAGTCAGGGCACGCTGTGAGTTGCATAATAATCAGATCACTCTGTGGCTTACCTATGAGTCAAAGCATGCTTGCGGCTCACGTAGGAATCCGGACACGCTGGGGTTCACGAAGGAGTTAGAACATGATACAGCTCACAAAAGAGCCAGGCTGTATATGAAAGCGGCAGGACTAACCTCCACATGAGCGTCTGATGCACCGAAGGACGTAGGTGAAACACGTGGTTGCTCACAGCCAAGTTGTGCTCCAGTCGGAAGGGCTCCAGCACCACCCCGTCTCTCACCGGGAAGGTCAGCCGCAGCTCCTCGTTGGGGTTGGCTGGGACGGGAGGGACAGAGAGAGCGTGAGAAGCCCCCTTTGGCATCTGCGGTGCAAGGAAGTAGATTCTCTACCCACAATGACAAACGGCCTGTAGCTCTTTTTTTGAAGCCACTATGCCCCTTGTGAGGAGGTGTCAGTAGTCTAGGGTTAGGGTGAAGAAGGACTTGCACACTGGTCTGAGGGAGCACTCACTGGGTGGGGGCAGGGCCGTGATGTTCGGCTTGATTTCCGGCGGGAACGGCGGCTTGGCGTCCTGGCTGGGCGACAGGTACGGAGGGATGCTGCTGCCGGGTGTCATGGGGGGCGTGGGGTTCCCCGGCACCGGCGAGTGGGGGTAGTTTCCCACTGGTCGTGGCGGCTGCGGGCGAGTGACAGCGCGGGTTAGCCGCTGTGGCCGACGCGCGCGACAGAAGCACGGGAACGAGGAGTGACTGGAGAAGCACGTACCCCGTTCAGGTTGCCCTGGTTGTAGGGATACCCACTTCCAGAGAAGTTGTTGCTCTGACCATTGAATGGCTCTTGCTGGAAGAGAAAAACGCCATAATAAATGTTACATTAGCTTTATGCTAGCGTTATGTTAGCATTGCATAGGACATCACTGCTGTTAATGGTAGTAAGACGTCTTACTGATTTTTTAATTCCCGATAATTGACAATGGATGGTGTTGGTTGTGCTTGCCTTATAATACTGGTTCATGCCCACGCTCGGAGGGTACTGTCCTGAGCTCTGCTGCCCTTGCATCCTCTGTCCGGGGTAGTTGGGTGACGGCAGCGGCCTGGGGGCGTTGGGAGCAGGGTACTGGCCTTGCTGGTTGGGGAACTGGCTGTTTGGTCCGTACTGCTGTCCCCCATAATTAGGCTAATGGAAAGAGATGGGACAGCTCAGCGCTCTATCGTACGCAAACGCATAACTGAGCATCCATTATGCAATTTCATCTGTAATCGTCTAATAAAAACCCATTCCGCTTACATGCAGAAGAAAAGGCAATGTAATACAGACACAAACAAAACCAAAGCCCATTAAATCACGGATCAGCGCTTGGGTACCAACTATTCGTGCGGGCTGTTCAACTAATGGGAACCAAAAAAAAAGGGTCGGTTAAACCGATCAGTGGGTGTTTCTCGATACCGAGAACACAAAGATCATACTTGTGGTCTTGGCAAGATCGGTCTTGCTAACTTGCCTTCCAAGAACGAACTTGAGGCGCAATGAATAATGGGATTGGTCTCGTTCAGCGGGGATGCAATCGACATATCCTTGATATTTGGGGCGGGGCAACAACAACATTTTTACCGTCCTCTGTACTTCTGTTCCTTCGGCAATGGAAGATGACATAAAACGGGTACGCGAGAGCACAAGTGCGGACACATGTTGAGAAACACGCAGTGATTGGCAGTACCCAGTAACGCCGCTCATTAGGACCCAGGCATAGCTGGCCTGGCGACTGCCTTCCTCACCGCAGTAAGCGTACTGACCTCCCCAGTATAGGACCTCTTCATGCTCTGCATGGGCATGGACTGTGGCCGGGGGCCCGGGTAGCCCTGTTGCGGCATGCGCTGACCGTGGCTCCCGAAGGGGCTCATGCCCGAGGCCCCCCGCGGCTGGTTCATGCTCATGGGGGCACCGCTCATGTTGGGGCCGCTCATGCTGGCGCCCATGCCGGCCGGGTTCATGTTCCCGGGCATGGAGGGTGGCCCACGTGGACCCGGCTGGTTCATGAACTGATTGTTGTAGGCTTGAGTGGGTCCCATCTGGAAAGAGGAACACATCTGTAAGAGAGAAGGAGCGAGCCCAATTAGAACGTGTGTCTGTGATGAAAAAGTAGCTACAGGACACCGTTTATTACTGTTATTATGGTACGCCACAGCAGGTCATTCTGTAAGTTAAAGTAGCTAACATATGTCTGAATGTGTTTGAAACAGGGGCGGGGCCACACAGATGTTGGTGCCAGCTGAATGCAGATTGGCTCTTGGAGTGCCCCCTCTGCTTTCACTCACCGATTGGCAACCTACCATTGGCTAATGATAAGGTTTGATCCTTCTGTATGAATTACAGCCCATCTTATGCTCCCCACCTTAAAAGAAAACCTAGAATCGCCTCCGGTTTAAAAGGCTAAGGGTTTCGCAGCCTAATGAGTAGCTTAGAAAATGTATTACTGAAATACTAAGGAAGAGAATTTTCAACTAAAGTATGTTGGACATGATAATAACAACATACATTTAGCTGATTTGGCCTTGGTAATTAAGCTACAAAAATGAAACACCAGGAGGCCAGCTGAGGAAACAACCGGATCTTACCGGTCCATACTGGTTCATGTCCTTGTTCTGGGTCTCCTGCAGGGCAGCAACAGTGGCCGTGGCGGTAGCTGTTGCCGTGGCGGCGGCGGCAGCCACAGCAGCGGCAGCGGCGGCGGCGGCGGGCTGGGTGAAGTCGGCAGGCGTGCGGGAGTGAGGGGTTATGCCCATACCCCCGGGGGGGTTTGGACCTCCCGGGTAACTGTAAAACACGAGGCGAATACGGCCGCCCGATTACCTGACGTTTTATGGGATTAAGCAACAGCAACATACAACAAAAAGACTCAGTTTGTTAAAGTTCCAAGTCTTTTCATGCATTTTAAATGTTTATTCTACAGTAAACAATACTGAAATTTGTATTTTTAAAATTACACCAAGGTCTCACTCTGAGGTCTGGTATCACCCTAATCGAAATGTACATTTAGAAACCTTCTATTATGCTTAAAGGGATTAAATACAATCCTTAAATACACAAATTATAATGAGCAGTGTTCCCTTCACAATAAGCTCTCTGTAGTTACTCCAGAGCCTCCGCTGAAGCCACGGTCCACAAGGCCCATTAGCCTGAGTGTGCGGGAGTGTGCGGGAGTGTGCGGGAGTGTGCGGGAGTGTGCACCTTCTCACCTGCCACCAAACCCCCCACCGCTGCCGGGGTAGCCGGGACGCCCGTACACGCCTTGCTGCATGTAAGGCTGGCTGGGGCCCCCTTTGGCCGGGAATTGCTGCTGCTGGCCAGCGAACTGGGGCGAGTTGATGCCTGGGTTGTTCCCGGACATGCTGGACGCCATGGGGTTGCCTCCAGGATTCATGGGGTTGCTGGCGTTCGCCATCGGGTTGCCCAGTACCTGTTTCGGGTTCCGGGCGATCGCAGCGTGAGGTGTTTAATGATCCGCGGCGCACGGCTGTCTGCTCAGCGTCCCGCCAAGACAACCGCGTTATAACTGGTGTCGACGGGGCGGCGGCGTCCGTCTCACCTGGCTCTGCGACGTGTTGGTCACACCCCAAACCGTAGTCACCACCGATAACGAGCCGGGCGGCTGGTTGCTGTTTTGTTGCCAAGGAACGGAATCATAAGGGAAGGAGCCATCACTGTGGAATGAGAATGAAGCACTGCTTCAGCGCGCCGGCGTCTCTGAGCTGCCCTTATGCACACGCCGCGTCACCAGGATGCCTGCTAGCCAGCCGTCTGTCACCCAGGCGGCCGGCGTTTCCGCTCAGAACATGCACACCTAACATCGAGATGCTGCACGTGCGTCTCTGTTCCGGTCTGGGTCTCGCAGTCCGTCGCCCCCGAGGGGCTGCTACAGACAGGCCCGACACAAGAGCACATCGCAGCCATCCTGCTCCAGCTCTTCACACTTTTGGGTCGCGGGTGACCTACACGCGGCTAAATGTTCCGCTGCTAACAGAGGGTGTCTGAAAAACTGGGTCCATGCTTACTCTATTTATCATCAGTTCTGTGCTTACTAATCACAGGAAGGACAGCAGTCCTTTACTGCATCGTGTTTTACTTACTAAAATCCATGAAAATGCATTTTCCTGATTTTTGCTTATTCAAAACACTTTTTTCTGATTTTTAATACAAAAGACAACCCGAATAAACAGTTTTTAATGCTCATTTTAATATATTTTATATAAAAGAAAAAAGGTCTCCATCACCTGTATTTCACAGAACTGCATATATCCTGCAGTCTGTTGATTCCTGTCATTTACTGGCTAATATGTTTTTAGTCTAATTAATGTACCTGCATAGCCATATTGAGGACCTATATATCAGACGGTAAAATGAGAGAATGTGAACTGTACAGGTGTGGTATCCATTTCCCTTCTGCTGTATTTTGCAAGACATACATGGCACTCATAGGCGTGTACGGAGGCGTGCTCTGTTCGGGGGGGGGGCACTGACCCGTGTGAGAGGCCGGGCTTCATGGAGGTCATGGGTGGCTGCATGGGCAACTTCCCTGGGGGGTCGCTGGGCCGGTTCTTCTGGTGACGCAGTAGGAGGAGGCGACCAAGCTCCTCACACCAGGATGACAGGAGGGCTAGGGGGTACAGGCAGAGAGAGAGAGAGAGGGAGAGAGAGGGAGAAAAGGAGGGAGGGAGAGAGATAGAGGGACAGGGAGAGGAAGGCAAGGAGGGAGAAGAGAGAGGGGGAAGAGGGAGGAAGAGAGAGGGGGAAGGGGGAGGAAGAGAGAGAAGGAGAGAGAGAGAGACATGCCGGTGAGCTCCATCGACCAGGGACGCGGATAAACGAAAGCTAGCTTGAGGTCAGAGCAGGCCTCCCATTGCACCACACCCCAGGGTCAGAGTAGGCCTCCCATTGCACCACACCCCAGGGCCTATCGAATCCATTTTTAGCGACACTGTTTACAAAACGCAAAGACACTGTGCTCCGTGTTTCCACTTGTTAAGGAAAAAACTAGGGAAAAGATTATTAACATGGAAAACCAACCCTAAACCCATAAAACGAGAAACGGTAAAAGATATCTTAATTTTTCCTATCTCACAATCGTTTATTTCATTTCATTCTCTTCCGGCTCTGATTTACTTTTATATGCTCTTTGTCCGCATATAACGTAGATAATATGAACACTATTCGTAATACCGCAGGCACACAGTAAGCAGCACGAAACAGTGCACATGTCATTTTTATCCTGGCCACACGGGGGCGCTCTCGCCCTGATCATCTCCTTAGCGTGCAGCTAGATTAGGCGCCTGCCAGGAAGCATAAGATCAAATCATACGCTTCTCATCTGCAGTGCATCCTTAGCATCTTGCCAGATACAAAAGACTGCATTTCCTCTTCTCTAAGGTGGGGAGGGGAACGTCGACACGGGAAATGTGACGGGTGAAGCGAACCATGCACCGAAACAGCGCTTTCTCTCTCTCTCTGTCTCTCTCTCTCCCAGCAACCCACCACCGGCCAAAATCACAGTTGGCAGAAAACATTCGGTGTGAGAAATGGGAGCTCACCAGCGCAGCTTCTCTCATGGCCGTGGGCCGGCCAGGTACTTTGGAGCTTGGAGCAAAAAATTACCTGATGGGGGGGGGGGGGGGGTGTACACAAGCAAAAGGGACATATCGAACAATAACGCATAGCTCCGCCCACATTCTCCAGGCTAGACCTCGTGGCAAAGGGTTGGATGCCATAGCGGCCCCTCAGAGCACATATCTAAGTACCAACCAGAGAGGGAATTAAAAACGGAATGAGTGGATCATTCAACGTGCCCCCCCCCCACAGCAAGCCCTTTAACGCCCACATTTAGGGGGTATTAGAGACAGAAAAACAGCAAGAGTAGCTGTGCACTATTCATCAGCCAGGAGATAATACCCACCCGGAGACAAACGTGTGTGGTGCAAACCACGCCCCCCCCCCCCCCCCCCCCCCCCGAGCCCCCCCAGCCCATCCATTTGAACACCAAGCACATGAGCCAGAGTCTATGTGTAAAGATTAGGAGGGGAATACAAAAGACGCGTACAGATGGTGCCAGAAATCCCTCCGCGCCTCCTGGTCCCCTCCTCCCCGGCTCGGATCACCACAATGAGCAGCTGGGTCGCTCCGCTCCTTCTAGGCAGGTGTCAGAAGACGGTCACACTACTGACTGTCCGGGTATCGATCAGTTCAGCTCCCGGCGTGGATCGAGGGGTCACCGGGCACGGGCTCTAAGGAACAACAGAGTCACGCGTCCAGCTCTCTGTCTCACGGGGGGACACGGCACAACTCAGAACGAGCGGGAAGCGGCCCACGTGAGTACAAAGCGATGGGGCCGGCCCGCCTGTAATCCGCCCTCAATAGCGGCCCTCGCATGCGCGGATGCGCAGGCCTCACGTGTCGGCAGCATTCCAGCACAGGCCCTGGGTCTGAGAGACCCGTCGTCACGGCGATAAACGGCGGTAAATCGGAACAGCGGACTGCGGGCAATCCGGTGCCGGGGGATGCCGCAGGGCGTGAGAAATGCGTAATGCGGTGCGGGACGAGAGTAAGGACCGCACGCGCCGCACCACGCCCGACCCGTGGACTTACGCAACCAGGCTAATTGGGGTAATTAAGCAGCTGCAAATAGCCGAAGTTGCTAAACGCAAGCAAAGTGGTGACTGGCTCCTGTGCCAAACGGCGAGCCGGCGGGGGGGGGGGGGGGGCGGTATCATTACTTAAATGGGAGTCATTCCACCCTGCCATTAGCAACAGCTCAGCCCCCGCCCCACACAATTCACTCTGGCTGAGGAGAGTCACGTTAAAGAGCAGGGAGGTTCACGTGGGCTCTGGCACAGCAGTATGCAAAACAGAGGGACGCAGGGGCCCAGGGACCTCAACCCCCCCAGTCACCCTCCCTGCAGCTCCCCCACTCCACACCTCCCCCCTAGGACAGCCAGGGGGAACACAAAAGGATTTAAGGCACCCCCCACAGGCACAGCCAGGACCCCATAAACTCATCTGTTTCTGCTTCGAGTCGGACACTGAAACCTGAGAGCAAATCAGAACCTGGGGGCCCGATCTGAGCTTCACGGCGCACGGTGGCCCGGCCCACATGCAGCCGGGCCGGGGCCCGGTGTCTCGGTGGTGAACTGCAGAGAGCAGTGAGATGCCGGGGGAGAGTGGGTGGCTCGATGGCCCTTTTCTGGCCCTGGGTTTTTCCTCCTATCATAATACCCTTGGGACACATGATAAATTAGGCCTGCTTGCTTCTTGACAGTTATCCAATTTTCCTTTCGCTGAAGTCTTTCGCCCTTCTAAGGAGACACACAGGAACAGTTTCATCCCGGCGTTACCACCCCAAACCACACACACACATAGACACACACACACACACACACACACACACACACACACACACAGGCACTCACAAGGCACTGGCACACACAGGCACAGACAGGCACGTACAGACAGCCACACAGTTCCTGCTTCAGACCCGGAAAGAGCAAAGACTACCTAGTAAATGAAAGCTACTCTTCTGTAGCCGATCCCTTGTTTTTTTGGGTACAAATCCTGCAAGGACACCCCCTGATCCCACGTCCACCGGGTGTGCGGGCCCAGCTGTGTCCTGGCCTTGGCACGGGGTGCGGGGGGAGTCCAAGGAAGCCGGCAGGGCAGGTAAAGCCAACGCCAAGGCCTCCAGTGTGCAGCCCCCCCCCCCCCAACCCAGCAGACACCTGCTCCTCCATCCACCGGGGGGCACCGGCCTGCCGCCTGGCACTCTCTGCCGCGGCCAACTGTGGCTCGTCATGTCGGAGCCGGAGCAGCCTGGCAAGGCACCCACATGCCGCCCGCTGCCAGACGCGGAGCTGCCAGGCGCCAGAAGGGGGGTGGGCGCTGCTGGCGGTCCAGACCGCGCCACGCTGATGAGCCCAGGATCCACGGACCCGATGCTTGCAGCCAAGCGACAAGCAGATCAATAAAATACAACTGATTACTGGTCCTTAAGTCAGAAAAACAAAAGCCTTTACTCAAACACCTAGACAAGCAGCTAATGAAATAAATCTGAGTGTGCATGCGTTTGCTGCAAAAGCCCAGTAGGGGGCAGGCTATTCTACATAAGCTAAGTTAGCCTAGCATAGAGGTGGAGCCAGCTATGGCATGAGTGGAACACAAAAGGTGGGGTGGGGGGATGAGCGGGGGAGCGTCTGGTGGAGCTGGCAGCCGTTTGGGGATCCCGGTGACCCCCAGCTCCCCCCCCCCCTCCCCACTTGTGTTTCTAAGGGAGCCTCTTCACTGCACTGCCAGCTGGGACCCTCAGCAGCCGCCTTTTTTTTGTTGTTTTTTTTTGTGTGGCCTGTGAATGTGTGGCCCTCCTGCTGGTGGAAGTAAATTCCCAAAGAAAGGGCCGGGGGGAGCCCCATCGCCCTGGTTACCGGAATCACCTTAAAAGCCGTGCAAAGTATTCCCGTCTGATCCCCTTAGCGGACTCCCCACGCTAAGCTGGCCTGACTCCTTGGCCCCGCCTCACTCCTTCCCCCACCCTCATGGCTACTTTTGGGATGAGATGCTCACCCCAGCACTGCTTGTGAGGCCCCAGTAACCCCTCAACGTCGACTCAGGACATAAAGGTCCAACTCTTGGGTCTACCAGCATCTACCAGAGTGTGTCCCCGACTGAACGGATGCCGAGGACCTTCCCGTTTTGCGGCACTTGACAACTTTGCGATAATCCGTCAACCTTTTCCATCGCACGATCCACATTACAAGGAAAACGAGACACGCCCATCGTTTGGAAATGCACCGCTTACACGGTCTGCACCCAGGGTAAAGGCTAGCTAAGAACATCCCTGCTCTGTCGAGCGGCCTCTGACTGCAGTAGCTGAACAGAGTGGCTTTATCAGTCACGTTGACGTACATGATTTACTTGCTTAAATCACAGAGGAGCCTGCACGTGTTCCGGCCGTGGATCAGAGCCTCACTTTGTGTTCCAGTCACATGAGGGCCTGCTTTAGTCACGTGACAGGCCGGGCGCTCTCCACTCCGGCAGCGTGAGACCGTAACAACAAATAAAGAGCGCTTGCCAAACTGGGCAGCGAAGTCCATGCCAAAAGCGAGTAGCCGCATTCCCTCCATCCCTTCCAGAAAAGAAAAAAAAAACACAAAAAGGCCCTCTAAGAAAACCGCACCAGACCGGAAATCTGATAGACCCGAGACAACCAGAGAGTTCAAAAATATCTCATCTTCCCACATGGTTTGGTTCATCTGTCGAAACTAGCGACCAGACTGACTAGTACTCGCCGTTGAAAGTGCTGCACAAAACACTGTGCTGAAAACAATAAAAACCAAAAACAAGTAGCAGCGTGTTCTTCTGTAATGGCCTGATGTAATTACAGCCTTATATCCTATTACGTGATGTTACGCAACATATGGTGTAATGTCAATTAGAAGCACATGCACATAACCCTATCAGACAGACGTCTCCCGTGGCCAGCGGACATGGCCGCTTGCTTAAAGTGAGTGCTGTGCATCGTGCAGATAATTATTTAAAAATCCGGCAAATGGAGGCAGGCCTGTCCTCTCCGTGTACTCTGGCAGGTGAGCACCTTTACGCTGCGGACCGCAGGCA